TCTTTTCTCTTGCTGCTTTCAGGATTCTTTCCTTATCTCTATATTTTGCAAATTGTACTATGATATGTCTTGGTGTCCAGCTTTTGTTGAATTTGATGGGAGTTCTCTTTTCTTCCTGGATTTGGATGACTGTTTCCTTCCCCAGATTAGGGAAGTTCTCAGCTATAATTTGCTCAAATAAACTTTCTGCCCCCTTTTCCCTCTCTTCTTCTTCTGGGATTCCTATGATATGAATTTTATTATGCTTTATGGAGTCGCTGAGTTCCCTAAGTCTACATTCGTGATCCAATACTTTTCTTTTCCTCTTCTCTTCAGCTTCATTATTTTCCATAATTATATCTTCCACTATCACTGATTCATTCTTCTGCTTTGTCCCTCCTTGTTGTCATTTCATCCATTCGGTTCTACATCTCAGTTATAGCATTTTTAATTTTTAAAAATACTTTTATTTATTTGACACAGAGAGAGAGCACACACAAGTATGGGAAGTGGCAGACAGAGGGAGAGGAAGAAGCAGGCTCCCTGCTCAGCATGTGGGACTCGATCCCAGGACCCTGGGGTCATGACCTGAGCTGAAGGCAGATGCTTAACCAACTGGGCCATCCAGGCACCCCTCAGTTATAGCATTTTTTATTTCAGCCTGACAAGTTTTTAGTTCTTTTACCTCTGCAGGAAGGGATCTCTAGTGTCTTCTGTGCTTTTCTCAAGCCCAGCTAGTATCCTTATGATTGTTGTTTTAAGTTCTAGTTCAGGCATATTACTTACCTGTTTTGATTAGTTCTCTGGTTGTCACTTCTTCCTGTTCTTTCTTTTAGGGTGAATTCCCCTATCTTGTCATTTTGGGTAGGTCAATGTTTTTGTGTGTGTGTGTGTGTGTGTGTGTGTGTTAGAAAAGCCTGTTATGTTTCCCGCTCCTGAGAGTAATAGCTATATTAAGAAGAGGTCCTATACTGTCCAGTGCCTGGTGCTTTAGGATGTATTTCAGAGTGTGCACTGTGCTGTTGTGTTTTGGCTGCTCTATCCCTCAGGTCAGTCCTCTGCAGAGTTTCTCTTTGCCTGCAGTGGGGAGTGTTTGGATCTTGTCCACAGTGTGGCAAGTTTTAAGTAGGTGTGTTTCAGTCTGCTTGTTAAGAGGCTAGATCCTATTTCCCCTACAGTTGATGCTTTGTAACACTCTATGGTCAGTAGAATTGGTGTGTGTGAAGGATTTGTGCTGCTCTTCTGGGGGAGGAGCCTGCTCTGCTGGTTGTCAGGCTGACTTGCCCTAGTAAAGGTGCACCTGTAGGGTACAGGGGGGCAGGCCCTGCCATTGTTTAGGAAGCCCTCACAGAAGAGCAGTCTCCCCTCTTGTGTTCCTGGCTTCCATCAGACCCTGCCCTCATGCTGTCTGTGGCTGAGCCATCTGCCCACCGCATGGCACAGTACTCCTGTGTTTTCAAACTCTCAGGCTCCTGGCTGGGCTTCAAAACTCCAAATTTTAGAGACCCAGAGCAGTGCAGAGTGGGGACGATCCTCCGGGGGAGGTCTTGCCATGCTGCAATTGGTGCCCATTAGTCCCAGAAAAGCAGTGATGTGATTGCACAGTGGCTTGGAGTTTATGGTAAAGTGCAGCAAAAACTGGCACCAGGGTTTGCTGCTCTCAGCAGGTGTCTCTGTTCCTATGCTAATGACCAGGCAGCACACTGGTGCCCACCAGCTCATTTGTCCCCTGAGGGGCCATGCCACCTCTCCCAAGAAGGGGAGCTCTCTCTTCCAGCACAACCCAGGGGATCTTCAAACTATGCTGACCGGTCCCAGGTCTCTGCCTTCCTTACCCGTAGTAGCACTGCTATGGCTGCCAGCCTCCACCAGGTGGTGGCTAATGGATTTCTGAAGCTTCAGACTTCGGGTTCCCCTGCTTGTAAAAAATTGCGATAATCAGCTGCTCTAGTTTTCCTAGTCAGTGGTTTGGGGGAAGTGTTTCTCTTGTGCAATTCCCTATGCTGCTTCTTTCTGTCTGTCTGTCTGTCTCTCCCTCTCTCTTTCTCCTCTTTCCAAGATCAAAACTCCCTCCCCTCTGCAGCACCTGTGTTTCTTTTCTCCCCAGAATCATGTCTGGGCACTTCCTATCTTCCCTGATGTGGCTATTTTCGCCCCCTAGTTCTGCACTTTGTACTCTGCCATGTGAGATCTTTCTCACCCAGCCCAGGTTTTAGGATGTCTGACCTTGGGTATAATGGGAAACAAATGTGATGTATTCACTTTAGTAGACATCCTTATTCATACATCAGCCTGTTCTGTGGCAACACTGGGACCCCAAGAAAGTAAATAATACTGGAATCTAATGTTATAATATAAGCTTAAGCTGTCTTCTTGGCATGTTTCTTCAAAGAGAATGTGGTTTCTTAGCTAAATGTGCATGTTTCTTGACACATCCTAGGAGTCTCATGATTTTTTTCAGGGCTAGATAAAGCACAATTTATTTTACTCTATCTTTTAAGTAATATGTGCACCCAACGTGGGACTCAAACTTAAAACCCCAAGATCAAGGGTCTCATGCTCTACCAACTGAGCCAGCCAGGTGCCCTGAGAAAGCATAGTTTAAAGAGAGTTGGGTTGCAGAGAGATGGACTATCTCAGTAGAGGACATGCCAAGGCCTTGGGTACTAGGGCAAGACCTTGGGTTCTAGTCCAAGTCCTACCACTAAATTGTTGTGGAATAACATATGTCACTGCTCTTTTTTGAGTTTCTATTCCTCCAAATGGAAGAAGTCTACAGAGTGAGGAGAGAGATCAAAGCAAGTTCTCTGAATTTGAGAATATCATGCTCTCGTGATGACCACTGCCAGTTGAAATGGCTGGTTATCTCAAAGCATTAATGCAGGAAGGAGGCTTGAGACAAATGGTCAGGAAGTACCATGATCACGGGAACAAGTTATGGCCTTTTTCTTTAACATCTATCCAGTTAAACTCTAACTCAGAGAAAACCAAACCAACCAAGCAACCAAACAAAACCATTAACACACAAGATTCCTGGGAACAAAATAAAAGGAATGGAGATATAATTTGGATGCTTTCTTATTAGTTTTCCATTTTTTTTCCCACAAGGGATTTGCAGTGACTTTGAGGATTAAGAATAAAGTAGATATCGAAAAGATACCAAGCAATGATCTCATTAATTATACAGACAGTATTTGCTGGGCACACAGAGACATCAGTTATCAAATGTTCACAAATGCCACTGCACATGTGTATGCTTGCTCACCACTTGTAACCCAGGGGCTTTGCTGTTAAGACACATATGAATACCTCTAAATATTCATTTGTACTCTAAAACATACACAAACTGAGCTTCTTATTTTATATGTAACAGTTTCCCATCAATATGTTGGTCTTCAGACTCACAATTTTGCTCATGAAAAAACACATTACTTGTTAACATTAATGTCACATTAAAAATGCAACATCACAAGAAAAGTCTCTGTAACAAAAGCAATTTTCAAAGCTGAGGTGATGTTTATTGTAAAGTCTATTCATTACACTAACACCAAATCCTGCAGCAGAATTAATCTTCTGGGATTTAGCCTTTATTTTATTCCACTTACAGAGGCAATTACCTTAGAGTATAAACTCGTTCATTTGAATGTCAGACTCTACAGAGCATAGAATCTGTTATCTCTGTTCTAGTGGTAGCATGGGACCTATGGGTGCAGCCAACTTAACCATCTTATGTTTTTTTCCTTAAGAACTGTTTTTATTTTGGGGCACCTGGGTGGCTCAGTCGGTTAAGCGTCTGCCTTCGGCTCAGGTCATGATCCCAGGGTCCTGGGATCAAGCCCCGCATCGGGCTCCCTGCTCGGCGGGAAGCCTGCTTCTCCCTCTCCCACTCCCCCTGCTTGTGTTCCCTCTCTCGCTGTGTCTCGCTCTGTCAAATAAATAAATAAAATCTTAAAAAAAAAACCTGTTTTTATTTTGTTATATGAAAGATTGATGAGAACTTGAAAAATGGGTGTGTAGTGGGAAAAAAACAAGTATATTTGCTACAGGCTTAATAATAACTTATATATTAAATGATAATGACAAAGACGACTGCTTCCATAGTGGTATTTAGCTTTTCTTCTGTAAAAGTTATTTGAATAACTTCAGTCTAATCAAGGAGGAAGTTATAGTGGAAGGCAGAGTATAATATTTATCTTATCTTTCATGCTATAGAATGCAATTATACACATCAAGTTCAATTCTAGGAAATGTTCCACTCTGCAGTGCATCTCTGGAATTAGAGTTTAAAAGAGAGATTAGTTATTTGGACTAGGTGGTAGTTTATTTATTTTTTTTTTTAGATTTTTATTTATTTATTTAATTGACAGAGAGAGAGAGACACACAGCAAGAGAGGGAACACAAGCAGGGGGAGTGGGAGAGGGAGAAGCAGGCTTCCCGCGGAGCAGGGAGCCCGATGCGGGGCTCGATCCCAGGACGCTGGGATCATGACCTGAGCCGAAGGCAGACGCTTAACCAACTGAGCCACCCAGGCGCCCCTGGACTAGGTGGTAGTTTTAATCAGCTTGAACTGTTAACCGAAGTATCACTGGGGGGCTTAAACCACAGACATTTATGTCGTATAGTTCTGGAGGCTGGGAAGTCCAAGACTGAGGTGTTGACAGGTTCAATTTCTGGTGAGAACCTTCTTTGTGGCTTGCAGACAGCTGCCCTCCGATTGTGCCCTCTCCTGATAGAGGGAGATTGAACTGGGGTCTCTTCTTCTTACAAGGACACTAATCCCATCATTAGTGAGGGTCTCAGGACCTTGTCTAGACCTAATTACCTTCCAAAGTCTGTACCCCCAGGTACCATCATGTTAGAGGGTAGAGCTTCAATATATGAATTTTGGGGAGACATAAACATTCGGTCCGTATTAATGGTAATGAGAGGGGATGTAAGGAATTTGATCATGACACTGAATCTCTTCTTCAGTTTCCTGCATTTTCTTACCTTTTCCCATCATCTTCAATCTCTCCCTTAGAGACTGCTTCAACATTTCCTCAAAAAGGACTTTTACTGGATTGGTCTGAGGAACAATTTTGGCTGGAGGTGGGAAGATGGATCAGCCCTAAACATCTCAAGGTAAGGGGGTTCAAAACAATGGGAAAAAAAGAGAAAAGGGGAAGAGAAATTATGTGACTGGGGAAATAGATCATGGATAACAGATGGAGAGGAGAGGAAAGGGTAAGGAAGGGAACTAGGGAACAGGAGAGGAAATGAATGGCGGATAAGAGCAAAAAAAAAAGACATTTTAAAGAGAGGCTAGTGAACAATTTTTATTCTGCTGTTTTGGGAGCTGAGAGAAGTGGGGCCTGAAATGGGAGAAAGAACTGCCCAGTTTTTATCCCTTCACGCCTTGCAGCTCCTTTGCTCTCCTGTTACCTTAAGTGATGGACTTTTCTGATTTCTTACAGGATTCTTTCAAACAGCTTGATACAGAAGTGTGGTACCATCAGCAAAGATGGTCTCCAAGCCTCTAGCTGTGAAGTTCTTTTACAGTGGGTCTGTAAGAAGGTCAGACTTTGAGGGGTCAGATCTGGCATACGGCTTCCTAGTATGAAGGAGCAGGCCTCTGGCTGTTGGGATGGACATGAATGTGTGAATACTGAACCTTCTAGGACATGGCATGCGATGCAAGACTCTGGACTCTCTTTGAGAACATTTAGATATTATCTTAACAATTTAAAGATCAGGTCTAGGAACATTTGGGAAATAAAAATTTTTTGTAGTACTTCTCACTCTAGGGACTGAGGCTGCCTCCTTCATCCCCATTCCCACCATCTCTGTTAAAAAATGTACCTTTCCTCTATGTTATGATCCGAACTGATCTGATGAAATCCGTGCAGGTATATACTATTGCTCATGTGTTACAGGGGTTGGGTGTGTGTTAGTGGGTTGGCATGTTACTTATTCCTCATAATATATTGTTATCCTAACGGTGGCCCTTCACAGATAAAGCTGTATTCTAAAGGGTAATGCAAACAGTGAGAATGTAAGTTGTAGTAAGTGGATGAGAACAGGGTAGTGCCTTCTGCTTCTCAGCTCTTCACTTAGAGACCTGGCCTTGGCTGAATTTAATTTTTCTGGGTGTGCACAGACGTGGTTGAATAAACTGATATATGATCATAGCTTTTCCATGTTGTGAATGTGTGATTTGCAGGTTAACTTCACAATAGTGGTCAATCTGAGGAAAGTTTACAAAAGCCGTTTATGTGCTTGATTCCCAAATTATTTTAGGCACGAATGCCTCAAAAATGAGAAAAACTCGATTATTTCTCTTAAGTAGGGTTTGGAGATAGAGTAGGAGGGAGTACTGAAGGGGACCACCGTTCTGTACTATTATGATCCTGGATTATAATCTCTTATCTTTCTCTCATAGATTTTATTTTTTTAGGAACATGAACTGTATCTTATCCACCATTGTATCCCTCACACCTAAAATAGTGCTTGTATCAGTGAATATTAAATAAATGAGTGGATGAATAAAAATTTAAAAATTCTGACTCTAGTTTTTTCTGTTAGCCCATGAGTTAATTAGAGGAATTAAGGGCAAGAAACACAGTATTTTCTAATCCTTCCTAACCCTACCTATGTGTGCATTCAGTAGCTGCCTCTAAAGAGGCAATAAGCCGGTTTCGTCTAGATGTACTAATGTTCACAGAAGTGGTGGAAACAAACTCCCATCTCCTTATGATCTCTTACCTTTGGCTCTGGGGCGGGAGGGTGTCTCTTGATTACGAATGTGATGGTAGCGACTCCCGCTTGGTTAAGGATGTAATGATAATGACTCCACTTGGGCCATGGCCATGGCTGCTACAGGGCACACAATCTCATTTACTCACTCAAAGAGAGACAGAGGAGGACGGTACGCTCCTGAGCTCTCCCCTGAGGAGGACTGTGCACTCCTGGGCTCTCCCCTGAGCAGGCAGCTCTTCTCTGCAACAAAGTTTCGGTCTTTTTTTTTTTTTTTTTTAAGATTTTTTTTTTTAATTTATTCATTTGCGACAGAGATACAGAGAGAGAGAAAGCAGGAGCAGGGGGAGAGGCAGAGGGAGAGGGAGAAGCAGGCTCCCCGCCGAGCCAGGAGCCTGATGCGGGGCTCGATCCCAGGACACCGGGATCACAAACTGAGCTGAAGGCAGATGCTTAACCATCTGAGCCACCCAGGTGCCCCAAGGTTCGGTCTTTTTGCAAGGATTTCTCACCACCTCTCATCAGGATTGGACCTAGTTCTTCACTGCTCTTTCTCCCTTTAGGATGTTACGTTAGAAATCACTTATCTCCTAGTTATTTATTTATCCCCTAGACTTACTCATTAGGAGCCAGGGTCAGTTACTAACTCAATTCTTCTACTTTGCCTAATGAAATAAAGTTTGAGTTTATTTTTGTGTCTGGTGCAAGAAAATGGTCTACTTTCATTCTTTTTTTTTTTTTTTAAGATTTTATTTATTTGACAGAGAGACACAGCGAGAGAGGGAACACAAGCAGGGGGAGTGGGGGAGGGAGAAGCAGGCTTCCCGCTGAGCAGGGAGCCCGATGTGGGGCTCGATCCCAGGACCCTGGGATCATGAGCTGAGCCGAAGGCAGATGCTTAATGACTGAGCCACCCAGGCGCCCCCATTCTTTTGCATTCTTTTGACTAGTTTACCCAACACCATTTTTTAAAAAAAATTTCAAGTGTTTTTTATTCAAAGGTTTTCAAAAGAAATAAAACAGAAAAAGCTAACAATCTGATCAAATGTACAGTTCAAAAATGTCTTTTGGCATTTAGCAACAAGTCCTAGGAAAAAAAAACTAGAGTTTTCTTGAACCAAACAAGTGAGCACTGGCAAGTTTGTGGTACTAGTAAAACAAAAATAAAAAAAATTTTTTTTAAAAGATTTTATTTATTTGACAGAGGGACACACAGCGAGAGAGGGAACACAAGCAGGGGGAGTGGGAGAGGGAGAAGCAGGCTTCCCCCCGAGGAGGGAGCCCGATGTAGGGCTTGATCCCAGGACCCCAGGATCATGACCTGAGCTAAAGGCAGACACTTAACGACTGAGCCACCCAGGTGCCCCACAAAAATAAAAAATTAACTCTCTTGATCATATGGTTATGTCCATGAAAATCTTTTTTTTTTCATTCTGTACAAAAGGTCTTTCTTCATAAATTAACTTTTAAAATAATTTAATGGCTGTCTACTATGTGATGTTTAATTTTTTTTTTTAAATGTACAGAGGTTATGTTTCCCAAATCTTACCCAAAAAAGTATGGCACTTATTTCAGACCTATCTAGCAGCAAATTCGCCCTCCCCTCCTAACCAAGCTACCAAATTTCTCTCTTAACTAATGCAAACATATCAAGTAGTGAGAAACCCAGGTTTATAAATGTACTAGGTACAAGGAAGGTGCTGCATTCGGTCTGCACTTTCACAAAGCAGTAATATTCCAGGGAGCGTAGAGCCAAAATAGCACAACTTTAAAAAAGGAAACAAAAACAAAAACAAAACACATTTCTCTTATGACAATGTACTTTTCACTAGACTCTACACTTCTCAGAGCATCAAGGACTTTTGAAACTATGAAATGTCACTGGCATCTATAATCAAATACAAGCATAAAATTTAAGAACTAAAAAGTACTGGAAAGAAATAACTGCTCAGCCCTAGCTCTACTACCATTTGTTGAAAGGACTTCTTCCCTATTGCATATTCTTGCCTCCTTTGTCAAAGATTCATTGACCATATAACTGTGGGTTTATTTCTGGGTATCCTCTTCTGCTCCATTGATTAATGTGTCGGTTTTGTGCCAGTACCATACTCTTTGGATTACTACAGCTTTGTAGTGTATCTTGAAATCTCAAATTGTGATACCTCCAGTTTTGTTTTTCTTTGTGGTTCCATACAAATTTTAGGATTGTTTGTTCTTGTTCTTTGAAAAAGGCTGTTGGTGTTTGGATAGGGATTGCTTTAAATTTATATATTGCTTTGGGTAGTATAGACATTTTAACAATACTCTTTTTTAAAAGATTTTTTATTTTATTATTTTTTAAAGATTTTATTTATTTATTTGACAGAGAGAGACATATCGAGAGAGGGAACACAAGTAGGGGGAGTGGATGAGGGAGAAGCAGGCTACCCGCTGAGCAGGGAGCCCGATGCGGGGCTCGATCCCAGGACCCTGGGATCATGACCTGAGCCGAAGGCAGACGCTTAACGACTGAGCCACCCAGGCACCCCAAAGAGTTTTTAGTTTTAAGTAATTTCTACATCCAAGTGGGGCTTGAACTTACAACCCCTGAGATCAAGAGTCACATGCTGGTACTGACTGAGCCAGCCAGACGCCACCAATATTTATTCTTCCAATCCATGACTGTGGAATATCTTTCTATTTGTTTGTGCCATCTTCAGTTTCTTTCATCTGTGTTTTATTGTTTAGAGTACGTGATTAGTTAATCAAACTCCTTGGGCTCCTGGGTGGCTCAGTCGTTAAACATCTGCCTTTGGCTCAGGTCATGATCCCAGGGTCCTGGGATCAAGCCCCACATCGGGCTCCCTCCTCGGGGGGAAGCCTGCTTCTCCCTCTCCCACTCCCCCTGCTTGTGTTCCTGTTCTCGCTATCTCTGTCTCTGTCAAATAAATAAAGTCTTAGAAAAAAAATCAAACTCCTCAGTTCATGGGTCACCCTCTTCATCAGTCATATATGCCTCTCTCACAGTCCATTTACCTTTCCCCTTGGCCCTAAATCCCCACTTTCATTTATCTTTCCTTCACAGGAACATACTTTGATATTTGATATATTCCTTAAGCTTGTTTGTATCCTTATACAATGTGTAGTGTTCTTTATTTGTTTCATATTTAATGATTCTATATATTTCATTGTTTTACTTTTTCCACGAGCATGTTTGTGAGTTCTGTTGCACTATGTACATGTAATTCATCCTTTTAGCTTCATAATCTTCATTTTATGTATCCATTCTCTTAATGATGGACACCTAGTTTGCCTTTGTTTCCCCACTATCACAAACAGTGATGGAATGGATATTCTCTTGTATATCCCTCCTCCAAAGTCTGCCCCATCTTAGGAGATGGCTCTACTTCCACTTAGTTGTTCAGATTACAAACTGAAGAGCTTCCTGGTTTCTTTTTTTTCTATATCAACAAATTTTATCATCACCAGCAGCAAACTATATTCTAAATCTCCTCTCTTCTTTCCATTTCCATTAAAAAAAAAAGGTCTGCTTATTTATTAGAGAACAAGAGAGAACATGCGCACTAGTGCGAGTAGGGGAAGGGGCAGAGGGAGAGAATCTCAAGCAGACTCCCCGCTGAGCATGGAGCCCAACCTGGGCTCCATCTCATGACCCATGAGATTATGACCTGAGCCAAAATCATGAGTGGGATGCTTAACCGACTGAGCCACCAAGGTGCCCCTCCATTTCCGCTTTGAGTTCCAGTCCAAGACTCTGTTGCTGTTCACCTAGATTACTATGACAGCTTCTTTTGTTATTACCTCCTTTAAAAACAGTTTTAGTGAGGGGGTACTTGGGTGGCTCAGGTGGTTGAGTGTCCAGCTCTTGGTTTCGTCTCAGGTCATTATCTCAGGGTCATGGAATGGAGTGCTGAGGCAGCTCTGTGCTCAGCAGGGATTCTGCTTAGGATTCTCTCTCTCCCTTTCCCTCTGCTGCTTCCCCCACTCGTGTGCACTCACTCTCTAAATAAATGAATAAAATAAAAAAAATAGTTTTATTGAGGTGTAGTTGACACACAATAAACTGAATATATTTAAAGAATAAAATCTGACAAGTTTTGACATGCATATATATATCTATCTATATATATATATATATCTATCTCCATGAAAATGTCACCGTAATCAAGATGGTGAAACAACTATCCTGAAAAGCTTCCTCATGCCTTTTGTAATTCCTCCTTCTCTCTCGTCCCTGTCACCCAACACTCTCCCATCCTCAGGAAACCCTGATCTACTTTACGTCACTATAGATTAGATTACGTATTCTAGAGCTTTACAGTTCATAGAGTTTTACAGAGTCATTAAGTATGTACTCTTTTTTTTCAGTCTTCACTCAGAATATTATTTTGAGATTCATTCATGGTGTTGTGTGTATCAGTGGTTTACCCTTTTT